TTTTTTTTTTAAGCAGACACGTGTGCAGGTAAATGGAAAAAGACACACATGCTTGGTTTTAAGGATCTGAAGCGTCAATCAACAGGATTCACAACAGAAACACAGTGACACTTTGATACCGGCTCAGCGTATTTCTCCCAGTTTTGAGAATATTAGCTGTTTGTTCGTTCTGAAACCTTGAATAAATGGAAAAATTTATAAATTGGAAAACAACTGTATTGACAATTTGTATTGATAAATAACATCAACCTGCATCATATCTGCTGAGTGAAATCCAACACTTTTTATTTTTTCTTTAATTTTTTTTTACTAATTTTGGATGCTGATTCCAAAAATAGTGTCTGTTTTGCACATCGAGCACGTCACACTTTCCATACTTCTATAAAACACGAAATATGTGCGTTTTGTTGCATTTCTGCTTTTGACAACCATTTGTTCAAATTTCAGTCCTTTTTCACATGCATGACATTATTTGATGCTTAATCCTGATATCTGCTTTTTCCCCATAGATAGTAAATAAAATGATGCATTTTGAACTTTTGACATTCGACTGCTTGTTATTTTGATGAATGCATTAAACACACACACACACACACACACACACACACACGCACATGTTGTGTTTCCATGTTTTATGGGGACATTCCATAGGCGTAATGGTTTTTATACTGTACAAACTGTATGTGCTATTGCCCTACACCAACCCTACCCCTAAACCTACCCCTCACAGGAAACTTTCTGCATTTTTACTTTCTCAAAAAAACTAATTCTGTATGATTTATAAGCTTGTTTCCTCATGGGGACCTCAAAAATGTCCCCACAAGGTCAAAATTTACTAGTATTACTATCCTTGTGGGGACATTTGGTCCCCATAACGTGATAAATGCCAGGTACACACACACACACACACATATAATTTGCAAAATCTTCATTGTTATTTTGTGGGGGAAAAAAACTACATAATTATTATTGATATTTCTATACTCTGCATCATCAAATTAGGCAATGTTAGGCCTTTTTTTGCAAATTAATATGCAGGGCAGAACTCCAGTTTCTTTGGTAAAGTACCAGCAACTTTTATCAACAAGCCGCATGATCTGAGGAATCACTGATGTCTGGAGCACAAATGCATGGAACAAAAATGCACTGAAGTTTCATATTGAGGGTTTTAGAAAAACCCCTTAACCGTAAGCATGAACAATAGTATCAGTGCTACTTGATGTGGGCATACATTTGCAAACGCGAATGAGCTAAAACTGTTTTCAGGTTTTCATGTTATTATAATGAACACATGCATTTATGAATGTTTTGATGCAGCAGGTGTTCCTTCATTAATTACAAGTGCTTGCTTTTGTTGTAACTTTCACATTGTTTCTGTCATGCAAGGCACACCTAATGTCCTTTTTGGGACTATTCCGCCGTCTGAATAGAGGAAGTGAGAGGAAAAGTGTTTGAGGACAGTCAGCAGATGCTTCCTTGCGTCTGTTTTCAGACACTCAAAAAAGAACCTTTTTTCTTCTTCTGTTGTGTTTTAATTCATGAAGATGTATGCAGAATATAACACACCTTTTTAGTCTGTTGAAAAGGCTGTCGTCGTTCTTTTTTATGTCTTGAACGATTTTTTGGAGCTGCCTGAAAATCAAAACACGAGTTAAGAAAAGCACATGCAGATCAAAAGTTTGGTTGGCAGGGGGTTTTTTTGTAATAGAAAGAAGGCTGCATTTATTTGATCAAAAATAAAAAAAAATTGTGAAATATTATTAGAATTTAAAATAACTGTTTTCTAATTAAATATCTGTTAAACTGTAATTTATTTCTGTGACGCGCAGCTGAATTTTCAGCATCATTACTCCAGTCTTCAGTGTCACATGATCTTCAGAAATCATTCTAATATGCTGATTTGCTGCTCAAGAAACATTTCTGATTATTATCAATGTTGAAAACGGTTGCGCTGCACAATAATTTCGTGGAAACTGTGATACATTTTATCTTTACAGGATTCTTTGATGAATAGAAAGTTCAAAAGAACAGCATTTATTTGAAACAGGAATCTTTCATAACATCATAAATGTCTTTACTGTCACTTTTAATCAATTTAATGCATCCTTCCTGAATAAAAATATTAATTTCTTAAAAAAAACCACTTAGTTTGAAATGGTAAGATAGGTGGATAGTACATGCTTCGCTCTCAGACGTTCTGTAAGGCTCTGTTGAAGCGTAAAGCCTGGGTTTAACAGCTTATCACACAAAGTGAACTGCTTCTGAGCTGCTAACGTCTGTGTTTGTGTTTGTGTAGAAGAGACAGAGTTCGAGACACATAATGAATATAATTACAGTCCACATAGAAACTCAACACAATTCCAGCTTAAACCACTCACTAACTTCAAGATATCCATCAATCGAGCCGGTCACATGACGTGTCCTCATTGACCTTCATTGGCATATTGTATTGTTGTATATCTGATTATATCTTTATTTAACCTTTATTGATAGCCTCTCTGAGATGAAACAACTCTTTCACAGGAGTGTCCTGGCCACAATGAGCAGCAGTCAGTTTCATCCCAAATTTACAAAACAAAAACAAACTAAGAACACTTATCTTAAATGGTTTTACTTTTTGTAAATAATGATTTCAGTGACATTTCAAAAGCTTCCTGTTAGCTTTAAGAGATGCTGATAAAAATAGTAATAATAATTGATAAATCATTTGCTGTTTTTCAGTTGCATACTCATATAGATTTACTAAATGCAAACATTTTGATTTATTGAAAAATAAGTATTTTAAGTTAATCCCTGTAAGGTAAATCTTTAACTAGTTGTAGTCCGACTGAAACTGAGCGCAGACGACTTCCTTATGCATAGATAACAGTGAAACTAAATCATTTAAAAGCTCGCCTTACCTAAGTTTATCCGTAGCAGGAGCCGTGAATCTGTTGAAATGCTCCATTCTGTGTTTCTATACTGACTGCGGTGAGTTAGTAGTGTGAGCTGCTAGTTGAGTGTCAGCTAGTAGTCGACTGAGCGTGTTGGACATCGCTGGTTAAGCAGCACATGCTGCAGCTGTGTCGAGGAGGGCAATTTTTTTCCACAGAAGTGGTCGGTAATGAGGATTATGAAACTGCTGTTGAACGTCATGTTACCTCTATATTTAGAGCCACTTTGAACTGATTCTCTTCAATGAAATGATGCATTTTCTTGCGTCTCTGTGTTCTCAGTCTCTGTCTTGTGCATTTTGCAAACTTTTATCCGTCTAATAATAATGGTTATGGTTTCCCTTAATGAACTTGATTATTGCACTCTTCTGTTTTTTTTCTAACAGTCAAGAGGCTGCACTATGAATGATGTTTAATGCATTTGTATTCATCCTATCCTAACAAACCATACATCAATGGAAAGCTTATTTATTCAGCTTTCAGCTGATGTATAAATCTCAATTTCAGAAAATGTAACCCTTATGACTGGTTTTGTTGTCCAGGGTCACAAATGTGCACATGTGTTTTACTTCATGGATATGAAACAAACTTCTTGACTTTTCTAAAAATGTTTTTAAAGGTTAGTGAAAGTATGCATTTTATTTTTGGTTGCAGTTGTAACTGACGAGGAACGGACTTTTTGCTCAGTTGATCTTGTATGCACTTTATAAGACATATATTTGTTTCTTTGCAAAAAAATAAAATAAAAAATAAAATTAAATTGCATTGCTAAAATGTCTAAATTATGTAGGATATTTAGAAGTGAAAACAATCTGTTTTTTTCATGCATTATTTTGTGAAATATAGAAGAAAAAAAAATTGCATGAAAAATTATTATTTTTTAAATAAATTATTAAAAATTATATAAAGAGCAAATATAGCATTGGATCAACAATAAAGTAACAATATAAAAGTAGCAATTTAATGTTCATTACTGATTTTTTTTTTTGCATTCTGACCATATTGATTTGTATCTTTGCAGAATTCACATTCCTAAAATGTCAGTATATTTAGTAGTGCAAACATTCTGCTTGATCTGCAAACCAAGTAAAGAAACATCATTTAATGTTCTGTGCTGATGTCTGATGTATATTCTGACCACCATATATTTGTCTCTTTGCAGAAAAAAAAAACTACAAAAAATAACTGTATTGCTAAAATTTCTATGTCTTATAGATTTAGTAGTGAACAGTGCTGGGTAGTAATCTGACCATATTGATTTGTATCTTTGCAGAATTCACATTCCTAAAATTTCTGTATATTTAGTAGTGCAAACATTCTGCTTGATCTGCAAACCAAGTAAAGAAACATCATTTAATGTTCTGTGCTGATGTCTTTGTGTATATTCTGACCACCATATATTTGTCTCTTTGCAGAAAAAAAACTACAAAAAATAACTGTATTGCTAAAATGTCTATGTCTTATAGATTTAGTAGTGAACAGTGCTGGGTCGTAACTGATTACATGTAATCTAGATTACATAATCCATTACAATTACTTTTTATGGATTGCATTTTACATAGCTTCACACAATGGCAGTAAATTATTCATAATTTATTAACACCAAGTCTTTATTTTTTTTCTTTCAATGTTTCCTTTCTAAATTAACCTACCACTTCTATACATTTGGACAGTCTTCCAGTTTTTGTGTAATTACACATGCCATCCACTAGTCAGGTGGCTACAATTGCACAGAAAATGGACATGTTTTAATTAGTATTTTTATGCAATGTATAGATTTGCAATCCACGATTCCGAACAAAAAAAGTACAACTCAGTCAAGTTAGATCATGTGTAATTGCATATAATTGCAAGTAACTAAACACTGTTGATGCGTAGCTGTGAAATACTACAGTATGTCTTCATCATGTGCCGTGAAAAATATTTCAGATATTTCAGGACTTTGGCCATGTGATATTTTCATGTTCATTGATTAAAAATTGAATATATTTTCTTTCCTTTTTTTAAGTCCCAGTAGTTAAGTCAAAAGTAATCAAAAAGTAGTCAGACTACATTACCTAATATGTCTATGTCTAATCCAGATTATGTACTTAAATACCATTTTTGTCATGTAATTTGTAATCAGTAATCGACTACAATTCTTAAGTAATCTACCCAGCACTAGTAGTGAAAATATAGATAGATGTAAAACTAGTCCAGCTTCCTCATTCCTGCAGACAATCATTGACTACTATCAGTGAGGAACACATGAGAAAAATACTGGGGATTCTACAAACAGGCAGCGTGTGGAGAGTTTAGAGTAGAAATAGAAACAGAAACGGATTCCTTACGGCCGATGGATGAAGCTGAATTTGTTGAGGTCACCGGCCGAGAGCGTCTGCAAGAGAAACAACAGGTTTAAAAACAATCACGTCCATGTTTTGAGTTCAGTCTGTCATATAGAGTAAAGTTTTCCATAACTCGTCTGTGTTGTATAGCTTCAAGGTGAATTTCTGCAAAGAGAATCAGTAATGTTCAGTGACAGTCGGGTTCTGTTTGAATGTTTCTGTGAGACACACACACACACACACGCACGCGCGCGCACACAGTAACTGTACTGAAAAGAAACTTTATTTAACAAACTTTTCTGTGATTAAACAGAATGTAACAATTCTAAAATTTGAATTTTTAGAATGTATTAATTTTCATTAAATGGTTTAGAAATTGACTCCGAAATTGTTCAATTAAAAGTGTTCCCATTCTGTTTGAATGTTTCTGTGAGACACACACACACACACACGCACGCGCGCGCACACAGTAACTGTACTGAAAAGAAACTTTATTTAACAAACTTTTCTGTGATTTAACAGAATGTAACAATTCTAAAATTGGCACACCTGATTCTTTCTGCATACTTTAGAATGTATTAATTTTCATTAAATGGTTTAGAAATTGTTCAATTAAAAGTGTTCCCAGAAGTTTCTTTAAATGAAAATATATGTATGCAAATATTGTTATATTGCTTTGTTTTTGATCAGTTTATATGAATTGGTGTCATAACGTGTTTCAGTTTAAATTTTACATAAAAGAAATGTAAATAAAAAAAAAAAAATCCTTGACATGTGGCCTGCATTTTCTTGTATTAAATAAATGAAAAATTTTAAAAATGTTATTAAAATTATAAATAAATAAACACACACACACACACATTATATACAAATTAATACCTAAATAGGGACATAGTAGTATACTTAAAGTATGATGTAAAGTTCGCTTAAAGAAAACTTACGAGTATACTTGCAGTATAAAACTACTAAACTAGTAGTTTACTGAGACTATACTTCAAAGTGTACTAAAAATGCTACTACAAGTATTTAATTAGTAAACTATCAGTATACCTATAAGTTCACTTTTAGTATAGTTGCAGTACAAACTAAACATTTTGATGTAAACTGGTTGTGTACTCAAATTTACTACTGTTATAGTATACTTAAAAGTATACTTTTATATACTAGAAAGTGGGCCAATTTAGTCCCAAGGAGTATTGAAATAGTACACTTACAAGTATACTACTAGTACACTGATATTTGTATACTTACTACATAAAGTATACTTAAAAATATACTTGAACTTTAACTTAAGTATACTTACTAAAATAAACTTGAATAATGACGTCATCAGCGACTAGTCGACTTCGACTCGACTTTCATCACATAAAAGTCGACTTCAAAAAATCAGAAGTCGTTCAACCCCTAACACACACACACACACACACACACACACACACAAAATAATGCATGAATATTGGTATTGCTGATGAGAATTTACACTCTTAAATATAATAATTTGCCAGTAAATCCTGTACATGATATACATTACAATAGTAGATCATAGTAAGAAAAACACCATCTTCAGAGAATGTGATTTCTAAGTAACAAAAGTTGCTAAGTCAAGCCAAAAGGTGAAATCATCTTTATGGTTTATGATTGTAAGATGCATTTTTTCTGGCTTTATTAGGAATATAAAATTGATGTTAAATGTTTTAAACACTAGTATGTTTATACCTTCAGTAAACACACTGATTAATTCAGTTGTTATCTCAATGTTATGTCCCTTACTAATTTAGCATTTTTCTGTTTTGAGACACACTGGCTATGTTTGGAATGAAAAACTAACTTTTATATATATAGCCCATGTTAAAAGAGTTGCTGATGGTGTTTTTCCAGTCCATAATAGTAGACTCACTGAGCATCTGTGTTGGCTCAAATGTTGATCAGATTCATACGTTCCCAAGGAACACAAACTGATTCAGATATACAGCCTGAGAGCCTTTAAAAAAAAAAATTATTATTATATGAAGCAGCTGTCAAATAAATTCTGTGTAATCAGAAAACTTGAACAGGCTTTTTCCTAATTTCTAACACTAGGTGGAGACCTTAGCCAGCGGGAAAACAGGCTGCGTTCCAATTCACCTGCGTGTGCCATATGCACTCAAGTGTGTTGGGGAAAGTCCATACATTTGAGTGTTTTGATAATAGACATACTGTGATGACAGCAGACCTTCAGAAGGAAGAAAAGCAATCCTGAATGAATCCTCTTGAGACCCACAAAAATGACCCTCAATAATATGTACTGCATTTGGGCTATTTATGTTTGATGTTGGAACATTTTTTGTTCATTTTGCCCTTTTTAGTACCGTACTTACTGAGTCTGAAGATTCCTGAAGATGCAACTTTACTTTAAATGACGTTTTGACATTGTCTGAAGGAAATGAGAGTCGTGGTGTGAAGGTGTTTTGAGTGTTTGTCAGGGCGCTACTGTCACTGCAGCACTGCTTTTAACAAGTTGCTATGTGGTTGCTAGGGCGTTCTGGGGTGTTTTTAGAATGTTGCTATGTGGTTGCTAGGGCGTTCTGGGGTGTTTTTAGAATGTTGCTATGCGGTTGCTAAGGTGTTTTTAGAATGTTGCTATGTGGTTGCTAGGGCGTTCTGGGGTGTTTTTAGAATGTTGCTATGCGGTTGCTAGGGTGTTTTTAGAATGTTGCTATG